CCATATTATCCTAATAAATCCAAATAAGTGTCAACTCGAATTAGGATAATCAAGAAATGCTTACAATTGAGCATGCTAAGGAAATTAGTTTAAATTTCTCGTAAATTTACACACGAAGCTAATATTCATCATAACTAGTCTTTATGAATGACGTCAGCTCATCAGGTTATTATTAACGCTAAAAGAACAGAAAACCAATTTCTACAGCCGTATTAATTTTTTTTAATAATGTACAATTTTAACTGTATATAGAAATTCATTTAGACTTAAAATGCACATGTAAATTTACCGGCAATTCATTTGCATCCAATCCTGCTCAACTTTACCCCCGTTCGTAACCCTGACTACCCCATCCATTAGTCATGACTCTTAATCCCAAGATAGCTCTTTGGCTTACTGAGACAAGAGTTATTGATGGGGCATTCGGAACTGAGGCTGCAAGATTATCCCGCCTGAAAATAGATGGACACGCATCGTGGAGTTCGAGGCTCATTAAAGACGACCCAGAACTGGTTAGATCGATTCACGAAAGGTAATCTGTCCATTGATAGCTACATAATTGCATTACATTATAATTCCACCTTGCATATTTAAGCTTTCTAAAAGCAGGATGCGATATTATATGTACAAATACCTACCAAGCATCAACTTCGACATTGGCCAATAGCATGGATATAGGTAAAAAAGAGGCTGCTGAATTAATGCACCACTCCGTGCGTATCGCAAGAAGAGCCATTGATAATGTGAGGAATGAGGAGAAAGAGTGCCTTCAACTAAATGAAGCAAACCAAAACATGAAAACCTGTGGACTGGCCAATGCGAAACGAGGACGCAATTCTCTTTTCAACAGGCTATTAGAACCCCTTATCGCTGGATCATTAGGCCCATACGGAGCATGCCAGGCCAACGGATCAGAGTACACAGGTTAGGAGGAAGGCTATATTTCATGCGATCAGAACATTTAATTTGGCTTTTATTCTATAAATCACGATTTAAATTAATTCTTCTGGGTGTCAGATTTTGAAAGGCATCCTGCTTG